GTGGGCCATAACCATGGCCTACAGTTTGGATTACTATTTACACAGTAGTCATTAATGTTTGGCTGTCTCATAAGTCGCTTTCAGTTTTTAAGGTCTGTAACTGTTAGATATCAATGTTATCATGACTAAGATGTTGACTCATCAAGAGGCAGCATTGTGGGTCCCACCTTTCAGGATGGGAGAGAGAGGAGGCGGAGGCGCCGCAGGAGCAGGAGGACGACGACGACGACCACCACCACCACCAGCAGAACGGGTAGCGATGCAAGAATAATTTTTTTATATAATATTTTATATAATTTTTATATATTATTTACATTACATTAGGTATATATTTTTTTGACTATGTTATATGTTTTAAATGAAGATTTAATGGATATAATTTTTTTATACAACTACAATTTTTAAAAAAATCAATAATTATAATTTGGTATGATACAATCTACAATAAAAAGAAAATTTTAGTACAATAAATTTTCACTACGTAGTAGAAATGAAAGAGGCAAGGTGAGGTTCTATAAAATTAGAAAATATGATTGTTTAGTTTAATTAGAAAAAATCAACAACGGAAATTTTGGAGGAAATATATGTCATTTAGCTTGGAGGAAATAAATAAAAAATTAATTATTTAATTATATATAAAATTATATTAAAAAATAATTTAAGAAAATTATTTCTAAATCATTTCACATACTAATTCACTAAAAATGGTGGGTGGGTCCCACACACGCTCCACTCATCTCTCCCCCCCTCCTTCCATCCCAAATCATGTCAACGCGTGATCTCCACTGTCCACAAGTCGAAGTACGAAAAGATGACCTGCCGAGAATGGGGGACCCTCACTTTTGATTTTTTTTATTAACTTGATACCCAAAAATCATATTAATTTCTGATTAGTTTAGAGTCAAGTTGGGTCAAACTTCATATGAAAAAACTTTCTTAATATATTTTTTTTATATTTACAAGATTTAAATTTAAAATTTTATTTTAAAAAAATCAAATTTTTTTCATTCTGATCAATAAATCATCAGTTTCATTTATTGCCGAAATTTTCAGTGCCAGCCTGTCCTTCATTTCATTGTTTGTGAGTTGATCAACGCTCTTTCACCTCGCGTGTGTTGACGCGCAATTATAAATGTGTAGTTACCAGGAGTAAACAATTCATGCCTTTTTGCACTTGATCCGAGAATTCCGAGTTAATTGACTTTTGACTCAACCTAAATTTCACTCTTAATTTATGATTTTTTCCTAATACGTAAGGTACATGTAAAAAATATTTTTTATTATAAATTTATAAAAAAAATAATAATAATAATAATTTTTTTATGTAAATAAATTTAATTATATAATTTAAATTTTAAATATTAATATTTTTAAATTTTTTTTTTAAAATACAAGTTAAGAAAATTATTATAAGTTAGTTTAACTTATGTTTTAATAAAATAACAAACGTATTATTTTATGACTAATTTACATGATACAATATTAAATTAACATTTATTTTAACACTAATAATATGTAGATAATTTTGGTTGGTTAATTAATCAATTTAAAGTCTATATTTATACTTTTCATGCAAATTAATTATCTATTTAACACTCCTTAATCTATGTTTTAAAGGTACAAATTAGAAATTCTCTTTATTAATTTTTCTAACCTATATCTCTAAAAAAACACATACTAAAAATGTATTAATTATATTTTTTTCATAATTAATTTATATAAAAAATAAAAATTAACTTTATATTTATTAACTCTCCAATTAAAATCATTCACATAATGTCAATGTAAAAAATAATTTTTGATTTTATATTTTTATATAGTAAAAATCTATTGTAAAAAGATAAATTAATGCACTCTTAGCTATACCTTAGAAAAATCCTTAATTTACATATTTTTCATATTGACTTTTTTTTTAAAAAAAATAGAGGATAAATACTTTTTTAAGTACATTTGATTATCGGTTATATAAAAAAGAATAGTCATCTCCTATTTCCAAATCTCTCTTCATTTGATTCAAAATTTGAATTTAAAATCTTTGATTTGAAATTTTGAGTTCTTAACCATTGAGTCATCTTAATAGGGTAAAAAAAAAGGATAAATACTAATGACATTGTTTCATTCAACAATTTCATCTCTATAATAAATGAGTTTTTTATTGACTAGAAAAAGAGGGATGAGGAAATAAAATAAAATTTTAAGGTTTCTATCAATAGTTTTTATAATGAAAAAGTGCAATGAATATATTTTTTGTTATAAATTTATATTGAAAGAAATAAAAATTGACTTTTAATTTTATCAATTATCAAATTAAATTAATCCACTTGATAACAACCCTTAAATTAATATCAAGTTTTATATATTTTTTTATACATTTATGACAAAAAAGTATTCTTAATCTATGTCTTTAAGGTAGAAGTAAGAAAAACACTTTTATTAATTTAAGGGAATTTTTTAATACATACCCTTAAAAGTGTAATTATTACACATTTTTATAATTGATTTATATGAAAAAAATACAAGTTGACTTAAATTTTATTAACTGTTTAATTAAATCATTATACGTGATGTTAGTGTTAAAAATAAAATTTATTTATGTAATATTCTATATAAATTAATGATAAAAAATGTAATAAATACATACTTAATCTATGCTCTTATGGTACAAATTATAAAAACCCTTAATTTAAAATTAAGAACACTTTCTCTTGTATCTTCATTAAAAGTGAGGGTTCACTAAACTTGGAGAAAATAAGCAGATAAAAATATAAATTTTGTTAATTTTTTCTATTTAAGCATGTGAATTTTGCTTAATTCTAAATAAGATAGTACATTTTTAAGTTCTTTTATTTAAAAATGTTAATTTTGTATTTTTTTAAAGATTAATTAAATAGTTAAAAAAGTCATTTATTATATTAGCATCATCATCTAATTAATTTTTAAATAAATTAAAACACAAAATTAACATTTTAAATAAAAACAGTTAAAATTTTGTTATTTTATTTAAAAATCGATAAAGTTTATATTTTTTGATAGAAAAAATAACAATGTTTCTATCTTTATCTGCAA